AACAACTTTGAGATTTTTCATCTTTTTATGAATTATTCTCTTAAGAAAGAATAGCAGGAAAAAAGTAACATAAATGCAGTACAATACAGACCTCAAATCTGTTTTGAATTGTCTAGTAAGGACAATGTGCTTTCTTAGTAACGAGATTTTTAACCACTCCAAATGACTCTCCCTCCTACTATGAGGAAATCCCAGGTGTTGATATTAGTTGACAGGATGTTAATGTCATTAACATTCTGTCAGCTCTTCTTGTCAATGTGTTAATGGTGCCCCTGCTGCTCAGTCACTCTCTGTCCTCCAGTTGGTGAAATGATTTAGCCAGCAGTCAATCAAAAAGCTAAGTTGATTTGGAGCAATAGACAGCCCTGCCGTTGACAAAATCTATGTGGGTAAATGTGGTAAGATATTTGTCAATAAGATATAAGAAGTAAAGTCAACATTGGGTTTAGTGTGCTTTTTAGACAGTGTAAGATGTTAAAACTGGACTATGGCACATATTTAAAAGTCTAAAAGGTCCTCTTTTGAGAATAGTCTTTCCTTTTGGGAAAAGGAAGGTGTAATAAGTAAAAGTGATATTTTGATTTAAAAGAAAGAAAAAAAAGACTGTCACAGTTATACTGGTCAAGAAGACAAAACCTGCAAAAATTGGAATCCACGTATAATGTCAACTCAAAAAGAACAGGCCTAAAGAAGGCAAGTAGTCCATTCACAGTGCTCCCTCTCATGTCTCTTAAACATGGGTTATTTTTCACAGCTCTGAAACCGGATGTGATTCTAAACCTCACCCCACCCACCAATATTTGCAGTTGGTGCTAAACACCGACACAGACTACATAATTTCTGATAACCTTAAAAAATAAAAAAAAAAAGATGACCTCTAGAAATTAATAAATGAAAAACAACAGGGATAACAGGCATATAACTTTCTGAGTTGTTGAAGTTATCTTGACTAAACAAACTCAAGCTCACTACAATGACACAGAGATAACTGTGGTCAATTTTATCATCAGATATAAAAAATTATAAACAGAAACATTTTAAAAAACTCGAGTATATATAATTAGGCAATGTCTGATACATAGTATAAACATTCAATAAATGAGAATGAATATAATCATTTTTATAACTTACTAAAAAAGAGTATAGTCTCTATTTTAATTCACTACACAAATGCGCTTAAAACTTCCAATACTATTATGATGAGAATATTAGCATGAACAATACTAAGAACTTTGCTTTTTAAAATCAGGCAAACAGTAGCAATTTCTCCCACATGGTAAGCTAGATATTTGAATGTGTGTTTCAGTATATACAGTGCTAGAAATTCCCTACTACAATTTATAAGAGAATTTTTCCTATTTCTCCCTGTTTTATAGTCTTATAAAATTAGTTTTGCTTAGTTTACTTTTTCTACCTATTTTTTTGAGTCATGAAGGTGTTCAGAGCAGGCCTCCCCAAGGTGTGCTACTTTAGCATGTGCATTATTTGGAGCTGAAGGCAATCAAGACCCTGATGGCTCATGATAAACTATGACCTCTCCCTTAAAGAATTTATATTGGGGGGCTTGCCCTAAGAGTTATTACCAGAAATAACATTTCATGACATATCTATAGTGCAAGACAAACTTCAAATTAATAAACATTTGCTCTTCTCATCGTCTTGTGAATAACCTTTCTCCTCCTGTGAAGCCCCAAAGTGTCTGACCTCATCCTTAGCTCAGAATGTCATATATGCCTCATTTTACCTTTCTGTTTCTGAAACTCTCATGTTACGTGGGATCTTTGAGTCTCTCATGTATGGGGGGTTCACATACATATGTATGTGATTGAATTTGGTTATTTTCTCTTTTTAATCTATCCCATGTTGATTTAATTATTAGACCGGCTGGAAGAAGCTAAAAGGATAGAGAAATATTTCTTCCTCCCCCACAGTCAGAAAAGGCAATCAGTTTGGGGTAGAGAAAGGGAGACAGAGGTGATGAGGTACCTTCAAAAGTCATTGGCTATTCTTTAAGAGGCAGGAAATAGCCTAGGCCACTCCATTCTTAGGAGAGGTTTCATTCTTTTTTGTCGTTGCTATTCAAATTTTTTGACATCTATTTTATAAAAAGTGTGTATTATCCCTTTTAAAACTGATTACACTTTACATGCGTGCTCTAAAAATGTGATTCAATGTTACTCAAGTTCCTGAGATTTATATAAAGAAAAGTTTTATAACTATTAGCACAGCCTACTCCTGTTTAACAATAGCCCTTGTGAAGTGCTAAATAAAAGTAGGAGCTTGAAAGAGATGATATCCATTGTCTCTAGCTATAATATTCTGTGATTAAACACATTCTTACTGAGTGTTTACATGTCGCTAGATGCTACGTGCTGTGATGGGCATACAGAAATTAACACACCAGACATGATCCTTGCCATAGAGGAGACCGAGCCAGAGAAACGTGTAAATGCCAGACTGTCAGCAATTTGAGGTCAAGTTTTCTATCTTGTGCAATGTTGTATATTTCATGGCCTGGCAAAGCTTAGCATATTATAAGTGTTCAATCAATATTGTGAAAGAGTAAGAGTGAATATAGGATGCTATAGGACTTAGCCCAACCTGGAGATTTGGTGAAGATTCAACCTAGATATTCAATTGCTCTCTCCACCATGCCACTGTTGCTAACTATAACACTAATGCTTTTCTAAAAGCCAAGAGGTGTGGCACTACTATTCAGTTTTTGAACTCACAGTCCTTATAAAGAGATTACTATTTAAGTAGGTAAGGTTACTTTCAAGGGAAACTACTCCCATACTTATGCCTGTAGTTATTCAATTTAAAGGGCCAGTGACCTGAAGCAAAATCATCTATTGACAGGGAACAGAAATATTAGAAAGATCATCCAGTACAGAGAATCCTATACTAGAAATAGAATCACAGTTCTAATTTTAAAGCAGAATTAAGTATCCTACAATAAAATATCCCTCTCTTTTGAAACTGCCAGAAGAGTAGAAAAAATATTAAGTAGGCACCAGAATTCATTTAACATGCATATATACATATGATTATCATGCATTTTGTTTGTCATTTTCTAGAAGATCAAAACTCTCAATGAATGACCAAGGAGTTTTCCAAAGCAAGAATAATTTGAGCAATAGTTCTATCATTGTAATTCATTAATTTGGAGTTTTTAGCCAATTCAAGTCAATATTCTAACTTTTTCTCTAAAATAAATTGCTGTGAATATATTTTTAATATGATATGCAAAGTTTGAGCCGCATACATTTTAATATAATTTTCAATCCCCTTGTAGACAAATAGTCACACTTTAATGCCCCTTAAATGAAGAATAACCACTCATCTATAACATACAGATACAGAAGGCTCTGGATTTTCATTTTAAAATGCTTAATTACTTGCATAAAGAGAAATAAAATAAAGAGTCCAAGCCAAGTTCATGAGGGTTTGAAATTACTTTTCTTTTTCTAAACGAGCAACAAAGGCACCTCAATGGTGCAAGCTGTTATGTGGCCACAAGCCAACTGTAGAAGAAAATGATAAAAAGAACAAGGAGATTAGAAATTAAATTTAAATATATGAGGCAAGAACCAAAATCAAAAATTGAAAAATGCAGGTGGTGTTTCCAGCCAGTGAACAATATAATATATTTGGATGAATAATCTAATCAGCAATAAAGTTACATCTTCACATTAAGTATCTCAATGTGGGCAGTTGTGTAATTTAAGGTTCTATTTTGAGGATTTCCTGCCTCCAATCACCCACAAACTTATGTTTCTAATATTCTTATTTACAAAAGTACTCAGCATCATTAAAGGACCAAACAAAACACTGTATTAATTCATGAATCAAAAAACTAAGAATGAAAAAAAAAAAATTTTTTTTCACATAAATCTAAACTGACATTCTCAAGTAACTGTTCAGTACTGTAACTTAGAAGGTGGGCAGGAAAGAAAACATATCAGAGAAGAAATAGGCAATAGATTTAACCTTGAAACAAGGTGACTGCCACATAGTTGTTGAAGGAATTTACTTATTATCAGATAAAGAATTTACAGTATTTATTCCCTCTAGAGATATAAAATAGAGAGTCAATTTGCAGTTCAAGATATTTACTTAAACCCAGAAGAAGAGGATATGGCTTTAACTTTTGAAAACCAAAGTAGAAAAAAAAAACAGCTCTAATGTAGTTTATCGTTAGATACCAGATTTAACATTAAACAATTCAAGCTAAATGCTATTTCTCAAGTTCTCCTTTCAAATATTTCTGTAACTTTTATGAATATAATATATGAAAAATGGGACTTTAAAACCCATTCATTTATCAGGAAATGCCTAATGTTACATAGCTAGCTACTACAATTTAGTTAAATATATAATCTACTGATCAATTTATCTATTCATCCAGCCATGCATCCATTTTATCCTTCACAATCCTTTCAGTCTACTGATATTAGTCATACTCTGATTGCCCTTGAAAATGCACGTGTCTTCAGAAAAAAACCTGTGTACTCGCACACACACACAAAGAAAAAAAAAATCTCTGACCAGAAAAATCTTCTCCTGTTGATCATTTCCTTTACACGAATGGTTACATAAGAAGATTCTCTGTTTTGTTTTGTTTTAGGTATAATCAAGCCTCATAATACTTACCTTGCATATCTTGTGGGCCTTCAAATGAAATTCTTCTTTGAGTAACAGCATTGTTTTCTTACATAATTGTTCCCTTGCCTACTCTACCTCCTTCCAAACATCACAAACTAAAATTTATGTTGCTAATATTAAAAAAAAAAAGCCTATACACAAATTCATACAGACAGTATGAATAGACGGGTAAATTAGGAAACAACCACATAGTAAATAGACAGGCAGGCAGGCAGGCAGGCAGACAGACAGACACACACACACACACACACACACACACACACACACACACACACAGAGACTCACGCACACACAGAGAAACTAACAAATAAACAAAATGCTTAAATAAAGGATATCGTCATCTTTTCCACGAACTTATCACGTTCATTTCCTGTCTGAGGGAATTTCTTGATGTCACCTTCCAGATGAACAATTTGTCGTTCCATTGCTGCAAGGTTGCTCTTGAGAATTTGAGCTGAAACTAAAGAACAATGTACAAAGCATTTAGAATATTTTACCAGGTATTCTAGAAAAAAACTAAAACAATATCAGTTAAAGTATTTTTTTAAACGTGGAAAACAGTTCCCAGAAGTCAACTCGCATTTTTCTGAATTACTGTTCATAAAAATTCTACTCTCCATGAAATAAGTGAAAATGTGTAATATAATATACCAAATCATCACGTTTAATATAAGAATGTTGCCACTTTATACAGACATTAGTTCAAACGAATCTATTTCTGTTTCAATTTATTGATGGAATTCCTAATATTTAATTCTTTAAAATATAATTTGAAGATTAAAGAGAAACTAAGGTTCAAAGAGATCTTATTTTATTAATGTATGTTCTTGGGTATATAAATGATTTAGGTTAAATTACATAAAAAGGATCAAATATTTTCCTTCTGTTGAAAAATCCTGATTTTTATAAAGCAACATCTATGGTAAAAGTTCTATTCTCTAGTACTTTTCATACTCATAGAAATGTGAAAAATAACTGTTAATACATAGAGAATTTAGCAAAACCCAGCAAAAACATATACGCATACACACCCTCAAAACTTCAGTGTGCCTTCAAATACTATCATTAGTTGCTTTAATTACCCCTAACATTCTCTGCACTTTCCTTTTTCTCTCCTCATTGACGATCAATAATTTTAAGTATTTTATTCAAACTGCTCCTAAATACATGCATATTTTCCAGATCTCTCATGATGCCTTCGTTTCGCAAAGGTATTTTTTTTAAAAAACTAATACTATTCTATAGGTACTCTATTATTGAACACCTGTCAATTATATATGAAGAAACTTCTATCAGTATCCAGGCATTTGGCAGGATTCTAAGTGAAAAGAACAGGTAACTATTAGAATTTGATAGGTAGCCTGACATTGGTTTTTAAATCTAGACCTCTGAAACACTGTTCTTTTCATTAAAGAACTGTGAAACAGAAATAGAATAATATTACAATTCTTTTTTTTAAGTAAATTTTGTTCAGAGGCATGTCAGAATTACAATGGAAAATTCAAGAGCCTGACAAAATCAACCCCCTGGGCCAAATTCTCCTGATACAAATTCCTCACACTGACCACACATCTTTATAACTCAAGGAGGAGAAATTGCCTTAAATATACATGTAAATTCAGGAGACTGAAAATCAAATAACAACACTAAAAACAAATTATGTTTTTCTTATTAATCTGTCAGTTCAAATAGCTCTGTCCAATTTAGTTCTATTTGTTTAGATCTGAAAAACCTGAAAATTAGTCTTTATTTGGAAAAGTCTAAGAAAGTTTTGTCTTGCCAAACATTTCCTAATGGTTTAGCAATCATTGCTTGCTTTATTTAAAGAACGAGTTTGCTATGGAGGAAATCATTATGACTTTCAAAGTGGATTTTTTTCATTTAGGTTTTTTGCTTAATTCTTGCTAATTATTCAAAAGATTTCTCCTTCCTCATTTGCTCGATTGAAAAACTGAAGATATGAAATCGACAAGTTGTTTATGTTATTTAGGTTGCATGGAAGAAATAAACTCATGATAACTTCCTGCAATAAACAAAATGTGCCCAAATGCCAGGTTTAGATCCCAACAGTAATCCTTCTAAAAGCAATAGTAATTCTAGTAGTAAAACGGGGATGATGATGAGGATTCATCTTTTGATTGTTCAATACAGAAACAGCCCCGACAAGTATGCACACAAAAGTCTAGATATCTCAAATAACAAGAGACAATATTTTTAATCCAGTGAAATTGCTTTTTACCCTAAAGTTAAATTCTGAATAAAACAATATTTTACAGCCATCTGTCCTCTTCAATTTCAGATGTCAAATCCATAGTCCTCTATAAATCCCTCTAGAGCTCTAGTCCAAATTCTCTACCATTTATGGGCACTTTTGTTTGCTTAAGTGATCTTCCACATGTTACCTTCTGCTTTGAAAGAGAATTATTTTTGTTTCGTGTACAGAAACATCGAGTCTCTGCTATAAAACTTCAAGCTATTCAATGGTAAGATTCATATCTAATTCTTTGCTTTTCCCTTAGTACTTAACACATATGGTCCTCATATATGCTTGCTGAATGAATATTTATATTTCATGAAGTTTTGGTTCAGATTTAAATTTATGCCAATTTCTGCAACTGAATGTGCACATAGAAGTTAGATCATTATGAGTGAAAGTTACCTTATCAACTATGATGTGAGTATGGAAAGGAAGCAGAAAGTTGAAGTCTGTCTAATTATACGTAGAGGAGGCAGGGTTGCAGAAGATACTTAGACAAATAGGAAAAGTGAGGAACTGGAATAAGAAAGAGAAGGGACACCTTTATTACACTCCTCTATTCTTCTCTTGCAATAAAGTGTTAATATCATGCCTTAACAAAAAAAGAATAAAATAAATACTGGACCTGAAATAATCCAAGGATTTTAGTTCACATGCAAATTGATGGCTGCATTAAAAAAAACAATACCATTATAGGAAACGTATATCCTTAATTTGGTGGAATTATGGTATCTTAGAGTTAGAAGTGACATTAAAGGGGACTTGGATCTGTCTCTCAAGTTTGAAAAACTCAAGTTCCATAGTGTCATAGTCCATGTTCCTAGAAAACAGAGCCTTAGACAAAGCTTACATGTTAAGGCCTTATCGGGGATGAAGGTAGGGTGTAATCAGAGAAACAGGCATGAGGGAAAAGGAAAGAAAGCACATACAGGAGAGTAAGTTACTGAATTAGCCACAGCTGTACAAAAAAAATATAGCTGGTTGCTTAGCATCTCAGGTTGTCTCCATCAAGGCCAACTTCGTGGGCATGTGGCCTGTGCAGTGGCTCAGGGCCCCATGCTTAGAAGGGCTCTGTACTTTAATGCTTTGTGGTCCTATTTGAAATTCTCAGTAGTTTATTAAATGGGGCCCTTCCTTATCATTTTGCATTGGGCCCCACTGATCATGCAGTCAGTCCTGGTCTCCAGGTAAGATAAATGAAACAACTACAACTCGTAAGAGTAACTTCGAGGGGGTGAGCAGTTCACTTGCTGGCTCCTTCTCATTTTCTATTCTCTTGTTGGTGAAATTCTCTTTCAAGGGGTGTTAACTTCTCACTCTGGCTAGGAAGCAAGACAAGCAGCCCAGGCTTGGAGGTGGGGAAATGGCATGGAAGTGGTGCTCAGTGAACTTAACGTGGTGCATAAACTAGATCTAGAACAGAGGATTCGCTCCATTATAAGTGGCTTATTCCTTTTTTGATGGTTGATATAATTAGAAAAGGTTTTCTTTACTTACAATCAAAATCAGCATATTTGAACTCTTCTTACCCATCATACCTCATTTTGCCTAGTAGCCACACTGATCAGGGCTACTCCTTATTTTACAGAAAAGGTGCCCCGAGCATCTTCTTAATCTTCCCAGGCTACAAACACCCAGGTCCTTCAACTAGCCCTCCAAAAGTATAAGGATTAGTCATTATGTAAGCTCTTAAATAATAACTAACATCTACTGATTACTTTGTGCTAGACATAATTGTAAGTAGTTTTATGTATTAATTCACTTAATCCTCACAAAACTCTATGAAGTATGTTCTACTCTAAAGCAGGAGTATGATAATAAACTAAATTATGTCTTCTCAGGAAGCTGTAAATGTAAAACGATGTCTAAAATCTGTACCCAGTGGAATAAAGGCATGCCACTTATATGTAGGGACAGGCATGGTCTTAGAAGTCAGATCGACCTAGATTCTAATCTCTGCCATACCAACAACTAGTTGGGATACCTTGAGCCAGTCACTTAGCCCATCTGGGTTATCATTTCCTGATTTGCAAAATGAAGATAATAATGCCTTCCATAAAAAGCAGTCATTTGAGTGAAATGATTTGATAAATATAATGTTTCTATCATTATGTCTGGTACATGATAGGTAATCTATACACATTCATTTCATATTCTATGATCATTTCCTCTATACACTACCTTACAACAAATCCCTACTGTATCTGTGCCATCGAGAATTAAACAACAATTTTGGTGTAATCTGAACAACAACAAAAAGGCAGTCATTCCCTATCTGCTACTATGGCCTGATTTAATTTAATATCTGTCTTCTTTCCAATCAAGAGAACTAAACTTAAATTTTGTTTTCTTTAGGTTTTACAAGGTACATGGAATTTTAGGTCTGGGAACCAGTGACAATTACACTAATGAACAGCTCATTTGTTAAGCGATATTAGCAACTTTCAAACTTGCTAATATTTCTGGAAATTAAAACCTGTCATCTGTATTTCTCTGGAGACATTTAAAAGTTAGTATATTTTGGCTTTCTAGGCTTGTCTAAAAGATAACACATTTTTAAAAAGTGTTAGAAAAGAATAACAGGCCTGGTTGTTTGCCTTGAATACATTTGGTCCAATCTTAAGAGCTGAGGATCAATACTGATTAGTTAACTATTTAATTAGGTCCTAGCCTACATTCATTCTAATAGCTGAGAGAGAGAGTGATTGATTAATTTTTACTGGGGTTGGGGTTGAGGTTGGGGGTGGAGTAGGGTACCTGGAGTTCCAAGAACATTTCAATACCAAAGGAGGGAGAAATGCTTGTCTCCTGCATAGTCTCAGCCTCAGGGTACATTTTTGTATCTGTCATTATATTAGTTCACTAATATCAATTAGGAAGTCTTTAATGACATGCAAACATTTTCTATCTGAGTAAATTCCCACTACAGGCATTTTCAATGACTGATTAGTCATTCTGGTGGCACTTTAATTTTTTTTTTTCTCTCTTATTTCATTTTTTACATCTGCTACTGAATTACTAACACTAAAAATAAAATTATAGCGATCAGGTTCTTTATTATAGCTTTCTTCCTTATACTCCATAAATAACCTTTTAAGCTCAGTATACTTGAGTTATGTGTAGGGAGAAACTTTTCCCACAAATCTTATTTATCTACTTATTTTGCTTGAAAAATATACATCTACTTTTTCCCTGGCTTCAAA